ATATATATATATATATATACATATATATATATATATATACATATATATATATATATATATATATATATATATATATATATATATATATATATATACATATATATATATATATATACATATATATATATATATATATATATATATATATGTATATAAATATATATATATATATATATATATATATATATATATATATATATATATATCTATATATATATATATATATATATATATATATATATATATATATATATATATATATATATATATATATATATATATATATATATATATATATATATATATATATATATATATATTGTATTGTGATTGTATGATGATAACAATACAATATATATATATATATATATATATATATATATATATATATATATATATATATATATATATATTGTATTGTGATTGTATGATGTATTGAAATAATTATTTCCCGTTTAGAAAAAAAATAGTTAATAATAAAGAGAGGTCTGGTTTCGTAACAATTTTTAGAAAAGGTAATTTTTTAAACATTTTTAGAATAATGAAATGATACTTTATTATTATTATTATTATTATTATTATTGCTATTATTATTATTATTATTATTATTATTATTATTATTATTATGTATTTGCCAATAAGTAAAAAATTTACAATTGTAGTTTATAAAATAAAAATTTAAATGACTGGGGTTAAATGTTAAGATGAAATCTGTAAGATAAGACAAAATTAGTCTTATCATTAGACCTGAAATATAAATTTATTCTTTTTTATTTATTTTAATAATTGAAATTTTAATATATATAATAATCAATTATAATATAATGAATGATATAATAAATTAAAATAATTATTTGACAAATTAAATTACAAAACTGAAAATAAAAATTAGAATTTTGTTAAAATGATGAGTTTATGAATGAATAATTTTTATTTAAGTTAAAACAGAATTTTACACTTTTTCCTTATTTATCTGCTGTCTAACAAATCAGTAGCAACATTTTATTTGTTCCTTATTAGAACTGTTTTCTGATTTTAATAAGCTGACTAATTCTTTTAGATTTACCAAATTCATCAGCGTAATCTTTCTGCTTTACATCTGACTACAATGATTATTTTGTAGGTAAATTTTGTAATTAATTATTGGAATTTGATTTTGAAGAATTTGTAATGATTTTTATTTATTTTAATTTTAAATTTAGTATTGGCATTTAGCACCAACAATGGCAAAAAATTGGCTTGTTTATTTAATAATTTATGCATGTATTTGCTTTTAATATAAAATGTAAATCAGGAAAAATTGTATATTTGTATGTTAATCAAAGAAATTTTGTTTTTAGATAATATTATCGATAACATCTGTCTATTTTATATCTAAAATGCTCACTTTTTAAATTTCATATGAACGGAATATAACTGCAACATTCCTTTTACGAAAATTATCCAGTATTTGAGTTTCCACAACCTTTCCGTTGTTTAACGGGAAAAACCAGTTGATTTTCAACGGAAATATCCCTTTATTTACGGGAAATTTTAGGCAGCTGCCGATGACAAAACCTCCCGTTATTTAACGGAAAAAACCCATTATATTTAAACGGAAATATCCCTTTATTTACGGAAACTTCCGTTTACATGCGATGGGTTTTTCCGTAAAATAACGGGAAGTTTTGTCATCGGCAGCTGCCGGAACTTTTCCGTAAAAAACGCGATATTTTTTTTAACAGTGTATGGGCAACGTAGTAGCAGAATAATATAAATGTAAGGTGCAAGCACGCATAAGAGCGATTTGGTTTGAAGTGCTCTAAAGTTGTGCACTTCTTTATAATAAATGAATTTAATAAAAATGAATGAACTGCCGAGCGACGGATCAAAGAGTTTTTGTGTGGCTAAAGACTCTGCTCCTATCCGCCTTATCCCCCTCCCCCCAAACTGTCATTAAGGTCTTAAAATCTTAAAAACCTACAGTCAATTACAAGCGTTATGTTTATGAGCGCATGTTCAAAAAATTCATAAGAAATTTTAGAGATTTTAAAATGGCTGCGGATCTTAGCTACATGTTCAAAAAGTTCAAAAAGATCTTAGCTACATGTTTAAAAATTTCATATGAAATGTAAAAGAAGTTTTAAAATTGCAGCGGATCTTAGATTTTTTATATAGCAACTTTTTTTTAATTTTGGTTTTGTAAAAATTAATGCTGCAACTTATTTATTAAATTCGTGATTAATGGAATATTTGGACCAAATGTTGTTTGTTGTATTCAAACTTAGCACCCAATTTTTTCATAAATAAAATAACATCAATAAAATTGTATTAAACCAGCAATATATTTTTCTAAAGTCAAATAGATTGTATTAGTAAAAAGCAAATCTCTTTTAATATTAGGTACGCGGAAATCACGATTTACGAAACCATTGTGCTAAAATTTTTTGGCTCGTTTTTTTAACATTTTTTAGGTAGCAAACGTATTTTCGTTAAATTTTTTTTTAGAAATATATAACAATAATTTTAAACAGATAGATACTTTTTTAAAAGAAGAAAGATTATTCTTGATTTTTGTTTAACTTTTATGTATGGTTACTGATTTTTTTTATGGATTATTTGGGTTCTGAAAAATAGGTTAATGTTCTCACATAAATATGTAGTCGAAGGAACATTGATCCCGGTCTATTTATTATTCGAAAAATTTCTGCATGCAATTTCTATGCACATATCAAATTTCAACGAAAAAAAAAGGGAGCAGATAGGTTTCAAAGGGTTCTACTACGCATACTGCATTTTTTCGGTAGTCTTTGTAAAACGTACTTTTGTGTTATTTCTTTTTAAAAAAATATGCAAATAAAGGTTTGTTTTTGAAAGAAGAAAGGTTAAGCGTGATTTCTATATAACTTTTATGTATGGTTACTAAATTTCTTTATGGGTTATTTTGCTTCAAATTTTAGACAATGTTCTCACTTGAATTTGTAGTAGAATAAATGTTGATCCCGCTCTGTTTATTATTTAGACAATTTTCTACATGCATTTTCTATGTAAATGCCAAATTTAAACGAAAAAAAAGGGAGCAGTCAGTTTACTAAGTGTAACATTTTTGGTTCCTAATTTCTGTTTTTCTGATTTTTTTTCGGTAAAGCAAATTACGGGGACAGGTAGAGGGGGGGGGGGGATTTTTGGACAATTTATATATTCCATTATCTAAACATGTTAATTATCAAATACAAAAATAAAGTAGTATACAATAAATTAATGGTTATAATCAATAACAGTTATAACTTTTTTTTTTTAAATAATTTAAAAACATAAACTTAATCATTAAGTTAATGTTTTTAAAGTGTTTTAATAATGTTAAAGCAATATTAATAGTATAAAAGATAAAATTGTTATTAACTAATAATATTCAATAACAATTTTATCTTTTATACTATCAATATTATTTTATATTATTAATTTTGAATTATAAATTTCAAATTAATAAAAAATTAATAATAATTATTAATTTATTGTTTACTACTTTAACTTTGTAGCAATATTCCAAGTGTTAGTTTGTTGCTTTTAATTAGATTTTTTTTATATTTTCTTTGTTAATTTTCTGTTTAAGTTTTTATTTTGCCATTTATGATGGTAGAGTTGAAAAAAGTAAACAGGAAATAACAAGGCAGAATTTACACTATTTCTTATTGGAAACAAGATGGAACTGATATTGAACTGTCAAAAGAATGAAAACTCCAGCTAGTTGCTGTTGTTATATCAGGGAAATTTAAATTTTCTTAATTGGAATATGAAATTAATGTAAAAATGCTCACAGTATAGCAAGTTTTGTAACCAGCAAAATAACTGCCACAAGTTTTATGGCTTGCAAATAGATTTTGCAAGTTTTGTGGCTTGAAAATAAGTACAACAAGTTTTTTGACTAGCAAATATACCAAAAGTTTTGTTGCTTGCAAAGAGGTACAGCAAGTTTTGTGGCTTGCAAAGAGGTACCACAAATTTTGTGGCTTGCAAATATAGTACAGCAAGTTTTGTAGCTTACAAATAGGTATTGGAAGTTTTGTGGCTTGCAAATAGGTACTGCAAATTTTGTGACTTGCAAAATAAGTATCGCAAGTTTTGTTGCTTGCAAATAAGGTACAGTAAGTTTTGTGGCTTGCAAGTAGGAACCGCAAGTTTTGTGGCTTGCAAATTGATAGTTGGCTCTGGCTTACCTTTATGTGGCGTCTATTGTTAAAAGTTAATAATTTTGTTTCGTTAACGTAATTTAAAGGTTACATTATTTACAGAAGCCCAGACAAGAAATATGAACATTTTTTATTTCATAAAACTTGTTTTTTTTGTGTTTTTTTCTTAGGTTGGAGTGGTTAATTTGTTCCTTTACATGATAATGTATACTCAGATGCATCTTGTAATGTGGTAAAATAGTTTTTTCATTCTAATTTCTTTTTCTTTTTAAAAACATTTTACGACTTCTTTGTTAAATTGTAAATAAAATATTTTTATTTGGTTCCAACAGAGGAGGGGGATGGCTTGCTCCTCTTTTTATAAAGACAAATTATACACCTTTAGGTGTATAAATTGCCTTTATGAAAGGGGGTGCATAAGAGCAATTTATACATACTATACTACACATTTTTATTTCAAAAGGCTTGTTGTATTCGTGTATTTTTTTTTAGGTTGGAGTGTGTAATCTGTCTTTTTTCATAACAAAATGGTTTTTTTGATGCATTTTGTAATGTGTTAAAATATTTTTTTAAACTAATTTCTCTCTGTTTTTTAAAAAAGTATATTAACATTTTTTGTGAAATTTCATAAAATTTTTTTTCAGGTTCATGGCAGAGGAGGTGGGGGGGGGGCAGTATAAGCCCCCTTCCATCAATGCAATCTATACACCACTAGTTACTCTTTGTTATAGTGTTAAAATATATTTTTTTGTTTTTTATAATAAATTTAATCATTTTAGTAAAGGTTGTAATATTTAAAATAATGAAATTTTGATTTGAAACCCAACACTCAACTTTAAGATAAACCTGTAATATTTGCTAGTGATGTGGAATAAATTAATAATAACTTGTTGTATATAAATATTACTAATTTTATAAAGAAAACACTCTATTTTAAAAAATAAATTGTATTTTTGTGAGGTGTAGGTGGCGGATTAGTACCCCCTCTGGATCCCTCCATGCGCCCTTTACCTAGAAACTGGTTTGAAATTATTGCCCATTTTTACATCTATCTTTTGATACTAAGATACATAATTATAATAGTTTATAATATATAATAACTTATAAAAGTTTATAATAAAATATATTATAATAAGTTATAATAATTTGTGTAGAAAATTTTTTTTTTTTGACCACAGTTTTATCAAGAAATCCATATACTGAAAAATTGCTACTAAAAACGTTATTTTTTTTTATAGAATTGTCTAATTTTCATAATTTTTTCACCTTTAAAATACTGTATTTGAGGGCTTTCCAATGATATAGAGCATTCTAGTATTGAATCAATTTAAAAAAATCAGTTCACGTACCTTTTAATATAAATTTTATTTCTTAAACATACTACAAAAACTCTATTATGATATATTATATATACTTATAATTTATAAACCAATAATTTTTTATGAATATCTAATCTAAAAACAAGATAATTAAATTAATTTACTTTCAAGAATATCACTCCAATTCTAATTTTCTTTCTATTTAAAATCAAATTGTGTGCTCTTGTTCATCTATTAAACTGTCTATTTGTCTGAAATCACACACAAGTAACCCTACCTCTTCCAATCTGTAATTTCTTTACTTCTATAAAAAATTCTAAAATTATTTTTTAGCAACCTTAAATTATATATTCTAAATCATTGTTCAGTTAAGTACAGCATAACAAATCACATCACAAACCAATGCATAAAATCATGATTTATCACTTTTTATTCATAGAATAATTTATTTTTTATATTCACTTTATACCACTATACTTTACTACTAAAACTCGTCTTTATGTCTTTTTATTTTGGAGAAATGTAATTACTGTTTGTAAAATGTTTTTTTTTTTTTTTTTTTTTTTTTTTTTTATAATTTAGCCGTACAAATATTTACAAGTTCCGTAATTTAAAATATTTAAAAATGGCAAGGACGAGAAGAAGACGGGGTTGTCTTATCACCAAGTCCCTTCTTTGTCTAGACATTTATATAAATACATGGTAACTAAAATGAAAATTAAAAAATTAAGAAAAAAGCAAAATATTTCAAAGAAGTTTATATAAAATGCCAAATAGTTTAATAGTTCAAAGTTTTGAAAGATATTTTTTCGATTTTATTTTTTGAAAGAAAAATTTAAAAGTTCATTCAGAAAAACAAAA